AAAAGTTTAAGTTAGAATTCTGCGCACAAAGCATTTAAAGTTGCTGTAAAAAGATATAAGTAATGTATTTTGTGTGGTTAGTTACTTTTTATTCAAACCAGGTTTCTAAATTGTTAGAATTCATATTTTGGGAGCTAAACTCTTCAATTATTGAAATTCAAACTCTCTTGAAATGCAAACAGATATAAAACCATGACCTAAATGCAAACTAAAGAGGTTGAATATCCAAACCAAAAGAGCGCCCCTGGTGATACTGTATCACTTGCACCCACTCAGTATGCATATCACAAAACCTTTTAAAGTGGTTTCATAACAAATCCACACCGTGATGAGTAGTGCCACCCTGTGGTTACTGCAGGCAGCACATGAAGAACAGTTTAATTCCAATTAAAATTCAATTCACACACTTAACATCTACTGGACCAGAACTTTAGCTATTGGACGGGAAAAGAGACACATCTGTGGTGTTACAAACAAGCAATTGAAGGCAGGAGGGAAACCACCAAAGCATGTGCTCAAGTAAACTACAGCAGTTAAAGTGGAGGATGCTAAAGGACACTTCCATTTATTGTCTGGGGGCAAGATGCAGTGAAGAGGATTTCCTCTCCTAGTCCACTTGGTGCTGTCCTCGCAGCAGCATGTCCCACAGAGAGTGCAGACTATGGCAGCATGATTGATGATTATTTTGCACAAATAGCTGCTTCTGATACTGGAGAGTGGATTGAAGGGATTTTATTTGTTCTTCTTGTCAAGAAAAAGCACACAATTTGTTTAGTGATTGGGTGAAGAAAGCACATCAGACAAGACAATGGGCGTCAGAGGGGAGGAAACGCTCTTTATCTTCTTGTCAGCGTGTCTGATTAGGCAGGATGTCGTGGGTTGGACCAGGTGTGGAGCATTGTCTCCTAATCCAAATAATGTTCCACACATACACACCATCAGCCGTTTGATCATATGATATTAGACTACGGAGTGCAACTGTTGTTTTCATTGTCAATGTATAGTTGTCTTGATTAAACTTTGGGTCTGATAAAAACAGTCCAAAACACATATTTGATCTAATATATTGCAATACAACCAAAGAAGGCAAATCCTTTAATTTGTCTGTGTGTCTGAAGAAACAAATATTGTGTGGTGATACATTCTATAAAAATACGTGTATTGTTCTGAAGGGTTCACTAACCCTCTCACTTTAACTCATGCAAACTTTGATGAATCAGCAATAGCGACTGTTTCCACTGTTTCTACTTTCTTATGAACTCGATTGTATTCTCCCAACGTTTTTGCAAATCAGGGCTGCAACTAGAAATCACTTTCATTATAGATTCATCTGTTGAATATTTTCTTGCTTAATCGTTTGATCTAGAAAATGTCAAAAATCGTAATAAATGTCTATCGAAGTTTTATGTCTTTAAATGTCTGCTTTGTTAGTCAAAGGTCAAATGATATGTTCCTTCATTTGATAGAAAATAATAGAAAAGCAGGAAACCTGCATATTTGAATATTACAATCACATAAATGATTACTCGATTACCAAACTAGTTGGGGATTATTTGTCTTTTGTTGAAGCTGTATCGCAAAGATGTCCAATGTCCAAGCTGTGAGACAGGCTTAAGCATGTGAATACGGCCTTTCGCAACATCCCTGTATGAGTCAGGTTAGCATGATTGCAGCATGAAGACACAAGCAGGCATATCACTAAGAGTCAGACTGTATGAGTCAGGGTCGCATGTCAAAAAACATGATGCTGCCCCCTCAGCATACACTCAGCGTGCCACCTGATTCTCCATGAAGTAACAGTAAATGTAAATGTAAAGGCTGAATGAAGATCTCTCAAAGCCCCCTCAGGTAAAGTGTTTCACATTCAGTGGGCCCCGGAGACCTTTTCAGGCAGGGAGCCAAGGGGGGGTGCAATTCCGCCGGCAGGAACAGAGCCAATAGTGGGTTTTCCCTTCACTACAGGAAGCCAGAGTAAAACAGCTATTGTCTACCGAAACAACACATGAACAATTTCTACTGGATTAAGATTTTAGAAAAAGAAAGTGTTACATAAAGGAGTAAACAGTAAACAATGAGCCCAAGTAGTGGTAAATAAAGTAGTAAGCAAACTTTAATAAGCCTGTAATTATATAATATTATTTTTTTAATTGTTTTGTTAAGATCCATATTGACAATAAAACACTAGCATGATTACTATTTGTTTTTTCATTCAGACTATAGGGATTATTTGTAATAATTAGGCCTATAATTGCACCTTATCTACACTACTAAATGCAACCTAGTTTATACTATAGAAAACACACCAAACCTTTACAGATAAAGTAAAACAGAAACTAGTGAAAGAGGAAGAAACTGCTTTGTGTTTGCTTTGTGAAGCATACCTGCACATAGTTTTCAAAGAACAGATTGTGAGTTAAAAAAAAAATAGATATATATTTTGAACTCACCTTTTGGTCAAAGTAAAGTGTTTCATAGCTGATGGGGCTTTCAGTTGAGGAAGATGAGCCCCCACGCCTGGAGAAAAGTTGTTGTTTGAGGGCGATCACATGCAGACAGCCGAGACACAGCGTTAAGATGCAGGTAACTGCAGCTCTGTCCACAAACCTCTCTCCAGCCTTCATGTCTGCTTCTGTCACGCACAGCTCACAACACACTGATCTGACTTCAGCACATGATAGTCAAATCGCATGATCTCCCTTGCTGGCACAGTGAAGATGAGACCTGTCCCGTAAAAGAGAGGAAGTGAGATTCGCCTGTCAGCAAATCCAGAGAGGTGTTAGTCAGACAGCATGTGACCTATATTTAGCAGCAGAGCAGAGACAGCCCGCTCGAGCACAGCATCAGTGTTCAATGTCTGCTCAACACTTTAATAACTTTAATTTAACTGTAGCCGGCTAGCAGTCCGAAGAAAGCAGATGGTTACCAATGTAAATAATGCTCGCAGTGGTTGATGGGAGTCTGAGTTTAACGTGGGCATGTTGCTGCTACGCTGGAAGCACACCCGTTCAAAGCAAGTAATATACCAGGAACAAGTTCAAAGCACGCACCCATCACTAACGAGGCCATGTTACGTTTGTCACACGCATTAATCATACAGTCTATGATTAATCCCCGTTGTGTTGCCAGTGTATATTTATTAAACCTCTGATAATGTAAGACTTTTATTGTGAAAGTCTATAACGGAAATGGAAAATCAAGTAGGCAACTATTCTGTTTCTTTACACATTTCTTTACCATAATAGTTTAAATCTTACACAATTGTTTTTAACAAATATGTGTTTCATTAACATTCAATAGTTTTGTGAATATGATAATGTGGAGATTACCTATATTTAAAATCACCAGTGCTCACTCACTACCATTTAAAATGAAGGTCATTAGCAACAGGCCAGGGTTGCGTTCCGATAATCCAAAAATCAGCTCCTAAATTCTAACCCTATCTCCTATTCCTTGACCTCTGAGTGAAACGTCACGGGGTTAAGGGATAGTGGATAGGATAATTCAAAAGGATTTAGGAGAAGAGACTGCGGTACTTTAGAGAATCTGAATGCACTTTCACTATCCGACGTGTTTATGATGCGCCAGCGGACAACAGAGAAACATATTCTTCATGACCAAAGTTAGAATTGAAATACAAAAGGAAAGTGAAACTTATGCTCGTCACCCTCTCCCTCCGGTCCACATTAATACAAATGATCCCAATACGTATGATTGATGAAAATACCTTAAAATCAATACAAATGTATTTATTATAAACGTTAGTCCTTAACATATATCACTGTGTATATCACCATTCAAACATCTTTTAAAAGTTGAACAAACCCCACAGCTCAGTAAACACTGTGAAATGTTGACTTTATTTGATCATTTCAGTAAAAACTAACGTTCATATTTCTCTTTTTGATTATAATACTGATGAACGTTCAAAACAAAGCACTTTGGCAACTTACCACATACGTTTTAAAAAGCTTAATAAGCACCGTAACTTTCATGATATCATTTCTCCGTCATAATCGTTTGTTTCCGTGAACGGCCGACTGTTGAGTGACGGCAAATGCTGCGGCTGCAATGCATTGTGGGGCAGCATTTTCTCCTCTCCTTTCGGTTAGGGAGGTCCAGTGGTTCCTAAACTAAAGGAGGTTATAAAGGAAGTTTGAAACCTCCTTTCCTATCATCTAGAGAATTCGAACGGCACTTATCATGGCTGCCACTGAGGGACTTCCTAAGCTAAATGGACTATTCGACCCAGCTCGCGTTGCTGGCTTCAAAAGTTGAGCAATGTTCAACTTTTGAAGCTTCGGCTGAAGCGTCAGCCAATCAAATAATATGCCAGTACAAGCTCTAGCCAATCAAACCGCGTGCTTGTGTGTCCGGGGCGGGATATTCATGTGATTGGTTGTTGGTCGAGTTTCAGACAAGCTCACCGGCAAGCTTCAACGCACGCCGCAGTGTGGACGCTGCGTTATATTTCTAAGTTGCATAGCCTGAATAAATTATCTACAGGCTTGGGGCCTAACAGGTTAAACAAGCATACAGTTCCTCTGGAGTCATCTTTGATGCTAGAAAATGTTTATTCAATAGTACATACAAAAACGACGGTTTAAGCCCTCTAGTGGGCACAACAAGGAACTGCAATCAAGTCAAGTTAGCGTAAATGCATCCATGATAACATACTTGAACATAAATTGATTATTGACTCCTCTAAAGAATATATATTCTGTGATGCTGTTTATACCTGTGACAACTGGGGAAAACCCATAGGCAAAGTCTGTGTTGATTTTAATCACGATGGTTTGCTTACCCTCTAGTGGTCACTGCAAGAAACTGCAACATACAATTAGCCACACCGGCATCGACATTATGGCATACTACCACTTCCGGTAAGGTCTTTCAAAATAAAACTTTAAATATAGGTGTAGTAACTCGTTGTCGCCGCACGAAGGCAGTACATAGACATGACAATGATTGGCCATAAGCAATAACATGACAAATACACAATATTTAGTGTAATTATTTAATGTTATACAGATTAATTTTTTTAGGAGTCATTTTGTACACATAAAGGAAAATAAGCACAATATCCCAATAGCGTTTCCTTCCAATTTCCCATATTGTGTTGACAAGGAGATGCAAGGGTTAACAATAAATCACTGCTGTTAAATCTAGGTAAAAAGGCAAAACAAAATGCTCGCCGGTTGTACGAAGGGATTACAGAAAATAATAAGTATAAAAGCAAAGTGCCAAGGTGTACAACAAGTCTGTACAACAAAAGACATAATGTTACAATAAAAATAATAACTGTGCAGTATATGGTATTGTGCAATACAGTACATTACAGTTATGGCAAATATATAAAAAGATAAAGTTAGACACTACAAATTATGGCAATACATGCTGGACAATCAATACATTACACATTAAAAGAATATGAAGTACAACAATTTATACGAAACTACATGAACATATCCCTTCAAACAAATAAGAAGTGATACAATTTCATGGCTAGGCAGCAACCACAAAGGCAGAGAATTATTTACGTCTATGGGTAAAAGAAACAGCTGACAGACAAATAAAAAAGTCAATTGATTAAAATGTTTATATTTTCTACTGATGATTGCCAATATCTGAGGCCTTTCCAAATGCTTTATATCATATCAACAGACTAATCGAAGCAATGCATGTATGCTAAAAAAAAGAAAATGTCACATAATAATGTGTCAATGTAGTAATTATATGTGTTTCAATTAATGTTATCCGATACAAAAGAAATATTTTAGCAGCAAGTAGAAATCCTATATTGGAAACAAATATTTCAGTTTGTTATGACGGGTGCAAATAACTACACATAAATTAGATACAAATTGTATGCAGTTCTCAGAGCAGAAGAACCTAGCGGGGAATAAATGATTGTTCAAAAGATTTTAGGGCAAGTTTGAAAAACCTTTTTGCAACTTGATCAGACTTGGTCATCTGAAAAACGTACTGTATGTAAACATATTGTTATCATTTACTGATAACCTCCAATGATCATGACACTTGTTGTCAGCTATTTGGAATCTGTAACAAAATACCTGGTATAACCTTTTAGTCACATAATACTGCTGGTGGAAATAAACGTTTATTGAAAATGGATACTAAAGCCCAAACAGCAAAATAAATCTGCCATTTGACCATTAAGAAGGACAAATGGAGCCCTACTTATATTCCTGGATGCAACAGGCAGAAAACTATACATCCTGTTGCATGGCTGACAATATCTCCAGAACGACAGCATCTAAAATGCTGGTTCCTGTAAGGCCAAACTAAAGTTGACTTACTTCCGTGTAGAGCTTAAAAAAAGGCATGGGGCTAGAAATGACTAAGAAGTGGCTTTATGCCATCTTAGAGGGACCTAGGCATTGGGGCTCTGCCATGTGTCCTCTACAGTCAATGACTACTAAGTTACCATGTGCTGAGCCCTCTCTAATTGATGTTGCAGCAGGTCAAGTAACTGATGGCTTTACCCTCGCCGGGCATTGGGGCATTGTCATTGTTATCCAGCTTGTTCTGTTTGGCCTCTCGAATGAGTTCGCAGGCCAGGTCCAGGAAAAGTTTCTCAACATTGTCGGACTCTTTGGCGGAGGTCTCCAGATACAGCATGCTCTGAGACTCAGCGAAGTCTTCAGCCCTCTGTCTCAGGACCTCTCTCTTCTCTGACAGATCTATTTTGTTACCTGTAAGACATAGAGCATTTATCTGTCATCACATGTGACAAGTATCACAACACAGTTTGTGTGTTCATCAGGGGGTGGGGATGGAAGTATGGCAAATAGTTGAAGTGTTGATTTCATATCCTTGATAACAGCAGCAGTTATTTCACTAGATGTACTGGTGTGAGCCGAAATGCTCACTTGTCAACTAGAAGGCGTTTGTTTTGGCTTTACTAGTCTTACACACTTTTATCAACTGGTTACCTAGTTAAGGTAAAAGTGTTACTAGTTAACTGTTTGAAGCCCCGTTTTAGATTAATAGTAAAGTAGTGAGGCTCACGGTTAGTTGGTTAGTTAGTTTAGTTACTAGTTGAACTAGTATAATTCAAAATCCTGGCATCACTATTAGGGCTTATGTTGGAACTTGTTGGAGAAAAATGCCACTAGTTGCTGCAAAAGACTGACTAGCACAAGTTTTTGTTCAACTAGTAAGACAGAATGCCAATCTAGAGTGACCAAATGTCAGACTAGTGTTGACAAAGAGCCAACTAGTGGGCGAAACTGCCGTATAATATCAAGGATATTAAATTAAAGCTAAAATGGCTTCCCATAATGAAAGTGGAGGTATTTGAATGCTTGTGTGTGATGATGCATTTAGGCAAAGACAGTGTCTAATATTTGTATTAAAATACAATTATTATGAAGTGAAAACCACACAACAAAATGTATGTTCAATTAAGTTTAAATGTAAGTGAAAATCAGTCAAATCAAGCACACACTATTTTTTACAGTGTTCTAATGAAAAACACTAAATAAATAAAGGACCCTTATTATGCAATGTAATGTAATGTAAATTATTCAAGTGAAAAGTAAAGCTTCTTACCGACTAATATAGTCACCACGGTGGTGTTGGCATACTGCTCGATCTCCCTCAGCCACTCTGGAAGGCACCTGAAGGAGTCCTCACAGGTAATGTCGTACGTGAGAATGAGGGCGTTGGCACTACGGTAATAACTCTGAGTGATGGAGCGGAATCTCTCCTGCCCAGCTGTGTCCCATATCTGCAGCTGGAAAACAAAGTATAAGAAATCAGCAACTTTCCATCCAATTGTTTACAAAACACAAAGGAATCTGATTTTGTATAAAACAATGTTTCAAAGTCTGGGTACCTTGACCTTCTCCCCTTTGATTTCCACTGTTTTAATCATGAAATCCACTCCAATAGTAGCCCCTTGTCCAGGTGGGAAAAGGCCCTAAAATGAAAACAGAAATAGAGAGTATGTTACCTTAAATGAATTACTTCAAACTCATAAACTCAGAATCATACAAACCTGAGTAAAGCGCCGGACAAGACATGTCTTCCCAACTCCAGCATTTCCAATCAGAACTATTTTGAACAGGTAGTCATAATCTTCCATGCTCATGATAAACCTTAAAAACATAAAAGGAAACAATGGGGTATAAGTAACATTGAACATGAAATCACTGCATTGCATGTGTCCAAGTGGATCACCTTATAGTGGATGCTGATGCTACTGGCACAATTCTGAAAAGTCCTGAAGTTAGACAGTTAAAATGCTGAGGAAACAATTAACATTTGAGCTGAATAACCTTCACTTTTTAGTTAAATATGCCCTTGTTCAGAGTTTCAGAATGTACATTTTAATTCTGATCTAGCTCTGTAACATACGGTAATACACTAACAGCACTGGAAAATGGCTGATATATTTTTATTTTAAATACTCAAAACGACTGATTACGTTCAACAAGTATCAGTATTCTAATAAGGTAATTCATGTTCTAGTTGCCCCTCCTTGATTCTGGTTTCATATGTCATAAAATACACATTCTTAACTTGTTTTTTATAGTCTATCATTAAAGCCACTGACCACAAAGAGGACATTTTTGGTCCCCTAATTTCCTAATAGTTTTGCTTAGCAGTTGTCAGGGGGTAGTCGTGCACCCTTTTTGGGTTATAACGGAGCCACGGAGGCTGGAGACACTGTCGGAAAGATTAATCTGCAATATTAAACGCATATCGGTAGCTGATGGGTCTGTTGATTCAGTCAGTGTCCACACATTACACAGTGAGATGCATGTAATGGATAGTAAAATACAACTTTAGTTTTCTCTGCAATAGATACCGTTACATTTGCTCCGACAGCAGCATTGAGAGGGGCCTATGCGTGCGTGAAAACGAAATACTCCATTGTAAAAGATAACAGAATCAATCAAACTGTTGCTTGCCAGACGATGCAAAACCCTGAATGGCACCCTGAATACAATGGTCCATATTCTATAGTTACAATTACTGAAATAATTTTCATACAATTTGTTGCCTGTGTCGCATTTCCTCTTCCGCCCTTTTTTTAAACTTGTTTTGTAATGCAAATCAACATTATTGCACATTTTGCACAGACAGAATCTGAGTTACCGTTACATTTCTTCCCAATAATGATTCGCTTTCAGCCTCAGTCGATGGCCATTAGGGCGAAGCTAGCGAAGGTAGCAACTAGCAGCTACCGTGCAACTAGCCATTTTGGCAAAAATCTGTAGATGCAGGAGAGATATAAGTCAACTCTACGAATCGAGAAATAGCTTTTACTTACCAAAAACAAGGGGATAACCCGGACTTAAAAACACTTGGTATGCATAGGTCACCTCATCAAACAGGCAAAGCCACTGCTGGGCAGGGCATATTTCCTCTGGCTGTGTATCCTCCTCAGCAGCTCAGCAGCTCAGCAGCATCAGCCTGTCTATGGAGGAGGAGGAGGAGGAGGAGGAGGAGGAGGAGGAGGAGGAGGAGGAGGAGGAGGAGGAGGAGGAGGAGGAGGAGGAGGAGGAGGAGGAGGAGGAGGAGGAGGAGGAGGAGGAGGAGGAGGAGGAGGAGGAGGAGGAGGAGGAGGAGGAGGAGGAGGAGGAGGAGGAGGAGGAGGAGGAGGAGGAGGAGGAGGAGGACACTCAGATGATGTCATCAGTTCACATGCACTCAATGCATCGAGAGAATAAAATCTCCCTAATGCAAATGTTCGGGCCTTCTCTTCACTATGTATCAAGATATCTTAATTAGAATTCACGGTGAAAAATAGAAAAAATAAATAAAAACAATTGAAACGTATAACATGACAACTGTGATTCATTAATGAGCTCCTGCCATGTGTATAACCCAATTTGTATTGTGTTATAATACTGCACTATCCCTTTATGTATTTGCTACATAGCCTAGGCCTACATTTGTTTAATATTTCACTTTGGTGAATCAAAGAAGTTGAAAAATAGCCTACATCTATGATCAATTTAAGTAGGGCTACTGCACCTCGGTGTTATTCTTATACGTTTTAACGTACTAACTAACTAACTAATTAGATAATTAACGAACTAACTAACTAACGTTACAACTAGCCTACGTGCTTAGCTACTGAACATAGTAGTGTACTCGCAGTGGTACGCCTACATTGTTAGCCTACCGTTGTTAATATGGCGATAAATGCTAACAAAGTTCAACTCGTATGGTCCTAATGTATTTATTTATATTTATTTTTGAAGTATTTCAAAAGCTATCTGTTTATACAAGGCAACCAAGGACAGTAGTTTAAATAGAGTTGCTTACAGCGAGCCCACATACTGTAACGTTATAAGAGGTTTAATGTAAATAAACCCTTTATTGTATGTGAATATGTTATTTCATATAACATCTAATTAATGTAAAATCGTTTAAGTTAAATCACATTTATTGCTCAATGTAAAGTTGTACCTTCTGGCATTGGTTGCTAGGAAACAAGATATTCGGAACTGAAGCGGTTCTCATGTGTTGTACCCGGAGGTTTCATGCGGTTGCACAGCACGTCCTTGACTTCCGACGAGAGGTAAAGGAAGCTAGTCAGGAGGTCACTCATATTTCTGAGTAAAAGGGGAGAATTGTCATCATGTTGTTCTTACCGGAGGAGGCGAAGGATCTCCCTCCCCCGTCCCTCTTCAACATGAACTCGGTGTGGCTGGCGTTTTCATCCGGACTTGCTTCGATGTACAGCAATGCCATCAACCACAAGCCACCTCTGAAATCAGGTTAGCATGTGTGTTAGCAGGCTTTCAGACTTTAGCTTCTCTACAGAGCTGCTCTTTCCTCTCAAGCATTATGCAACATTGAATCATCATTTATTATTGTATTAATTCATATTCTATCTATGTTTTTTAATTATTATTTTCGATGTGTTTTACTATGTTTTCTTATGTTTAGATGTTGTTGTTCAATCCGCTTGCTCTCTGTATATGTTTAAGTGAAAGCACTTTGTAACTATGTTTGGAAAGGTGCCATATAAATAAAGTTTATTATTAGTATTATTAGTATAATGTATAAAAACCCTGCCCTGACATGGTGCACTTATAAGAGTCAACATTGTGTGAGCAGTCGCAGCCCAACGTTTTAAAAGGTTACACATCTCCTATGCTAGGCAGACATACTGTAAACATTCATCATATCAGCCTTACTTAAGTCAATATTAACAATAAACTCACTCAACAACATTTCCAGTGTCTGTTCTTTGGTGCTCATTTTCTTTTAGATAATGATAATAATACATGGCATTTATATAGCGCTTTTCCTGGTGCTCAAAGCGCTTAAGATCCAAACTATATACTCCAATCTGGTGGGTTATCCTTATGCTTGATTTATTTCTTTATGTCTTTGAATTTGACTTAATTTAAGAACAAGGTAGCACTTCTTAATTTGAAAGGCACAATGAACGCTTGTATTTATTCTTTCAATGCTAACCTTTACATGTATGCATTGTGTTGTGTGCTTAAATGACACTCATCCATGTCCATCTTCTTGTTTTAAGGTGTTCACCGACTTGTCCTAATGACAACAATTGGTTGGTACGTCGGCTACCATGTGACAAAAATAGAAAATTACCATTTTGCCAAAGTTGATCGAGATATGAAAGAGTATATCAAACTGCACCCAGATGATTTTGTTGCAAAGGGTAAGTGAAATATCAGTGTTTTTGCTCTTCCAAAAGACCCCCGACAGTGCTCCATGTTTTTTCTATGCATGTTCATTAATATTTAACAATTACACTGACTAATCCCATTCTATCCACCTGCAGTGCCCTTTTCTGAATATATTTTGGCATTCAAATGCATATTTTATTCCTTCCTTTCATCATATATTTCATCATCACTTAGGACGATTATATGCTAGTTACAGACCACAATTATAAAACAGGATAATACGAGGATATGAAGTTCCATGCTGTGTATTTGTGCCGTTCTTTCTGTCGTGCTTGATGTTCACTTGGAGATTTTTAAGTCTTCACATTAAGTATAAGAACATTGTGACCCATGTTTATGTGAATTCAAATGGTTTCTTTCTGTTTTTGTCATCCCACCAGACAAAAAGACCTTTGCAGAGATTGTCGAGCGTTTCATTCCCATTCGCTAATTGGCGTCTGATGAGATGGAAGAGGAAGGGAGGGAGAAAACACTTTTAGACTACCATCTGTCTTCAGTGGTCTTTTTGTGAAATCTTTCTGTCAACTATTGTACAAAATATTGTTATGTAATAAAATAAATACCCAAGTTTAAAATGTTCTCATTATTCAGAAGCATAGACATAATGAGTGTTTGCACATAAATCAATCCTAGAACACAGCTCTGTTGTTTCATGTTCTTTTAATCAGTCAACCTTTTATATCTTCAACCATCATTTCCAATGGGCTATTACAGTTCGCAAATGAATAGATAGATTTGGTTAACATTGACAAAGCACGGTTGTTCCATATCATTTAGTTACAGGAATTGGGTCACTGAATGTAAACAGTTTGTGAAAATCATGTGACTGTTACTTCTTGGCTGTTACATGTACAGCACATTTTAAAATCACCAGATATTTAGCTTAATGTCCAACTAAGTCTTACATGTTTTTCTAATTTGCCACTCCAATAATGTCCATATATTTGTCAGTGAGACTCTGAGTCTTCTTGGTGAGGTCACTCATCACAGAAAATAGTCCTCTGAGGTGGAAGCCAAAGAGAGCCTCTGGATCTGTGTCCAACAGAGTCTCCAGGGTCTTGTTGAGCGCTGTGTTCTTGGCCTTGTGGTCATCCAGGCGAACCAGGTTGCTCTCTGCGGTGTTTCTTATGGCCTTGAGCATCAGGTAGTTGCTATACAGGTCAGTGCAGGACTCCTCTGCTGCCGCACAGTCCCAGAGGTCATCGGAGGGGACGTCTCGCAGCAGGCTGGGCAGGAGAATGGTCTGCTCCATGTCACAGACGGCTGAGCTGTACCGTCTCAGAGCTAAGAGGAGGCTGTTTTTGTTGGATTTGGCTTCGGCAGACTGCATGGTTCCAGTTGGATGTGGTTGGCTGTTTCTGTGCTGTGGTGGTCGACAGTAGAACGCCGTGTGCAGTGCAAAGACATGAGAGCACAACTGGGGAATTTATACAAAGAGCACAGGTGGGTTGATCCATGCAGTTACATAATTGCATCAGCCGAGGCATTGAGGAGCGCGTCGGGTGCTATGTGGAGTCAAACTCTTATCTTTATTTGATTTACACAACCCAAAGTCATAATAATGTCTGACCACTATGTACCTAAATGAACCTCTCTCAACACTTTAACAATGTAGATCACTGTGTTTGCCTGGCAACAACATTATTTGATTTTTGTATTCAATCATTTAAATTACATTTAGCTGAGGCATGTTGTTTTTTTGCCACAACAGAAAGAGCCTCAGTTTTAACCTCAGGTTAGTTCTGTTTACATTTGCAGGTCATCTTCGAGAACTGCTGAACTTCTGCTGTTGTTTATCCATTTGAATAGGCAAAGAGAACTTGAATGATTATTCTTAAAAAATCAAATGTATCTTAAATATGATCCTACTAAACTAACAGCAATTGAGAAATGGTTGAGACAGTTTGTCCATTGGCAGGTAGTTCTGAAGAATAGCCAAGCACCATCAGAAACACAAAAGACCAATTATTGTCACATAGAAACACACAGATTTATTGTTTAGAATGATAGCCGTTTCTGAGATATTACAATGTCAACCATCGAGTAAACATAGCAACATAGAAGACACCGATTGTAAGACAGAATTATTACCTAATTTGAAAACACAATATTAATATCATGTATATAATACACAATATACACATTATAATATGTAAACCAAGTGTAATCCAGTGCTTCTAGATCCTTTCTGTTTCTTTCTAACTTTAATTGTTCTCCCTTTCCCAAGTGCACACATTTAACCAAAGTTAAAGAGGAATTTGAAAGATATCATTATTCATTTTAATGATTTTTTTTTTTTATCAAAATGTATCATAAATGATTTTTAACCTAACATGTAATATTGTGGCAGCCCTACATGTACATCTGTATCTTACTCTGTGAAAAAAGGAAGACTAATACAATATTTTAAAAAACTGCTCTTTTTTTAAGGGGGAAAAAAAAGAATTTCAATTTTCTTTGTGATTTTAAGGCAACATTGTAACCTAAATAATTGTCAAATATAATAAAGCAAAAACATTTCATGTTAAATATTTGTACATGCAGTAACTACATGGATAGTCAGATATCATCCAATTTATATACAAGCAACAGTGTAGTTTTATGCACATTTCACATGAACAGCAACACAAAACCAACTAGATTGAACAGTCTCTGGATAGTTTTGAATAGTGTTAACATGCTATTACCCAAATGCGTAATTATGTCTGATAGGGAGTGTTTTCTCTAATGAAGTTTGTAACAAAATTAACAAAGATTTTGGCAGTTGCCTTCTTGTGCCGGACAGTTCTGTAAACCAAGAGTCAAAGGGATTCATTCACCACGTTTTGCATCATCTACTCAAGCCATACTGTAGGAACCTGAAAGCAGATGTGTCCTCCTTCACTGAGAGACTCACGAAACACACAGCTTGTTAAAATGTAACAAAGCTGGAGGGCCACCGTTGTGAGAGCACAAGCAGAGGGGACAGTGCTTCCCTCAGGCGACATACAGTGACATCATATCTGTGTGGGGCTGCTCACTCAGTTCATTCAGTTCAGTACAGTTTGAGGTGGGACTTTGGTCTTTAACCATCAAGCACATACAGTACATTCTTTCCTAAACACTACTGCATTCTGAAAATCCTTTCGAAAAGCGCAATCACAATTTTCCACACAATCCAGCTTGTTGATTTCACGTTCAGTTTATAGCTCTCTTCAGTTGACCATTCAGGATAATTTCCAAGACGTTTGTAAGATCCATCATCTTGCCAAGCATGTCCATGATGTCGGGATGTTCGTGGGCTCCACTGATGAACTCCTCCAGGGTCAGCTCACCTGAGGAGACAAGTAGATAAGATGGAAATGGCATGAACACATTGTAAACAGTGTGTACAAATGGGTATAAGAAATCATATATTAGGATATTTCACGACTACTAGAGTTATGGAGACATTATTTCTAAAGAACACTATTGTCTTTTTCTTGGCTATGAAATCATTACATTAGTCATGGATTGACTATAGTTCTGACCTTCTCCGTTGACATCAATCTTCTCATATATAAGAGTTACAATTTCTTCTGGAGGGACGTCATAACTTCTGGTGATATCTTGAATAGCCTGTTGAAGGAGTTACAGATAATGGTTAGTTAAATCGACACTGGCAGGTTAATCAATTTGATTAAACACTGCGCCTTTCCTCATTAAGCTCCTGAATGCTAACCCTAAATAGGAGTCTTTATATTGAGTGATATTTAAGACTAGGAATACCATTTATTTAGGTTCCTCTACACCAAATACGGTCTCTAAAATGACTACTATGACTAAATCCAAGGTGGTGTATATATATGATTTTACTTGACCTAAGTGTCAGTACCTACAGTTATTACCATAACAAAATGGTGACAAGGTAAAAAGTGATCATGTAATATGCATAGTATGACTGCTTTAGTGACTAAATGATGTAATAGGGCCATATTTAAACTTGGAGTTGGATAATAAACCCCCTGGATTAGATGTCTACTGGCTAAATGTAACCATTCAGAAAACGTTGAAATGCCCAGTCTCTAAGATCTGTAAAACTAAAAGTATGGAACAAGAAAGAAGAAAACACACCTTGAATATGGTCTCTAATTCCTCCTTGTCAATTTTCCCATTTCCATCCTGATCAAAGAGCTTGAAGTACCACTTGAGTTTCTGGTTAATTTCTCCTTTTAGCAATAAACTAATTGCTGCGATGTATTCCACAAAGTCTATATAGCCATCCTGCAAAAGGACACATAAAAAGTACAATTGTGAATAGGATTATGAATCAATTTGATTAATCAGCAACAACAAAAGGTATTTTTTCAATGAAGGTTTTCTAAATAAAACGGTTTAATCAGTTTATCATTCTATGCATTCTTTGGTTTTAAGCTTTGTGAAAGATGTCAGGAATCAAAGACTAGAGTTTAACCTCAATTGATCTAGAGACTTCAACTGGTAGCATTTATAACAATTCTACACTATTCACGTAAAATAATTTGAAATAATGCAGGAAAACTCTTGTTTTCCAACAGAACGTTTCGGGTCTACATTACCAAAGAACTGATTTGATGTATTCAACAAGGTACATGCATTAGGAATTCGCAAGCAACTGTCTTGTCAGTTGAAAAATTGTTACCAGACTTTGAGTCAATCACAAAATCCACTGTCACCTGGGCAGTGAATAAAAACTCAGGTGATTTCTTACCCTATCCATGTCAAAGGTAAGGAAGACCTGTTCCACATAGCTGCTGGCCTCCTCTGTCATTCCGTTCATGTCGAGCATAGTCCTGAGCTCAAAGAGCGTTATGAGTCCTGAAGGGGACTCCTTCATGAATTTGGTGTACCAATGATGCATGTCCTCCTCCAGGATATCATCCAAGGTGGGGTATGCGGCCCCCATTATTCCCTTCAGAAATGTAATTTAGTCCAGAATCCAGCAAAGAGCCAGTGGTGAGGCTGAGATGAGAGAGAACAGACTTCCTGCAGAGCTCTGTAGCACTGAGGTCCGGCTGAAATGACATGCAACAAACACCTTAATCTGTCAATCCTGGCACAGCCAAAAGAGGACATAACTCCTTAATTGGATAACTACAGGAGTCTTCCAAGAAGTGCAGCACATTGCATGCTATGACTGAAGTGGGCTTGGTTACTGTTTCCACGGATCGGTAACTCTTATGCGTGATGAAGGAAGCCCCTTTGAACTCTCGACTCTAAGAGTTTGCAGGTTTTAATAAAGACTTCTGCCATGGAACTGGAAGTCAAAGTGTATTCTTTTTTTTCCATACAAACTTTATTTCATCATATTTTTTTCTAGTTTGCTCTTTAGTCAGGTATTTACATAACTATTTATATATATATACATTTTATATTTTCACCTGCATAGTCACATGTTTGATGCATACAAACAAATCTAAATGTGCACACATATGCCATGCCACATATACTATGTGACATAGTATACCAACTATTTAAGTTGATCACATATTTCTTGGATTCCTCAGGGAATTAACAAAGGGCTAGGAAATATTTCTGAGCTACAAACACATACATTATACATTTCTTTTTTGGGGGGAGGTGGGGATTTTAAGTTGTACATCAACATTTAAAGGAGAACAAATATTTTGAAAGTTCTAGATATTATTTCCTTCTGAAATTCTAATAAGGATGTTGCTGAAGTAATGAATACTGTTGGGGTTGGTCAATAAGGGATGCTGAAGTCAATTTGACTAACAATCTATTCTATTGAACAGTTCACGTCTATGGCAAACATATGCTATGGCTCTTTGTTGAGTTACAAATACTGATGAAACTTGGGATGAATGACTTTACACTTTAGATAAAATATAATAAAATGATAAATTATCATACTTAGTATTATTAATAAAATACCTATATGCATTTTCAATATTCATTTATTTTTATTTTGTTTATTATATCTCCTTTATGGGGTCTTTTGCTACCCTTTTTTGAAAAATCAACTTTGAAGCAAAAACCATGCAGTTTTGGCATGCAGTATAAATGTGTTATTTTTGCCTTTAAAAAGTTATGCATACTAAACGGCCATGGAAAGTCTCACTCTGATGGATTCAATGAGCCCAATTGTAATCATGTGTTATATTGATAGTCCTTAAAGTAGCCCTTTCATTTGATTGAGACCACTTGTTGAAACTTGATCTCACTGAGTTTTTTTTAGTTCCAAAATAATCATAACTTCATTAAAACTTGACAAGCACAAACTACACCCATGACATTCAGAGGATGTATGGCTTTACTAGTTATATTGACAGTAAACGGGATTACTGAGTGCTCGCATTATATATGGAAAAAAGAAAACTACAATCTTTGCAGGGACGTTTTTGATACTTAATCAGTGCAGGATTTAATTGCTATGGTGTTCTTCAAGGTCTTGGTGTGTTAGTGTGGTATTTTGAAAGTACTTTTAAGTACTTTTATCAATTCTCAAGTGTTCAAAAATGAAACAGTTTAGCAATTAATCCGGTTAAGGAACAAATTGCATCAACTCAACATTTGCTGAAAAGATTTAAGAGACAACATGGATCATCCCCTACTCTGTACACCTATACAAAAAGGGTTTGATTGGTAAGAGATTACAGTAGTTTTCCTGGTATGTTAAGTAACAGGTATTAGCAAAAGCTAGTTCAGATGTAGCCTAAACTACCCTAAATATATTGTATTACTCACAAAGAAATGTGGAGGACCGAAATATGATTTTGTCTGCAGAAGTACATTTCCTGCCACCTCATTGACCTCAGAATTAGGCAGACAGATCGTGTGTGTGTGTGTGTGTGTGTGTGTGTGTGTGTGTGTGTGTGTGTGTGTGTGTGTGTGTGTGTGTGTGTGTGTGTGTGTGTGTGTGTGTGTGTGTGTGTGTGTGTGTGTGCGTGCGTGCATGTGTGTGTGTGTGTGTATGTGTGTGTGTGTTTCAGCATTTTTGTTATTTTATCAAAAATACTTAATTGTTGTTGTATGCATTTGATAAAAATTACATGGAGTTTAGCTGTAAAGACATGATCTGTTTAAATAAATTGACTTTCCTCGCCAAACATATCATAAGAATAAAACCATTTCCAACTCATTCCAGCCTGTGATCAAACGGCTTGGTTTAAAATAACTCAAATGTCTTCTGTGTGATCAACATGCAGTAAGGCGAGCAGGCAGACATGTTTGTTTTTACTTTCAATGCCAGAACAGGTGTTGTGCTTTAAGAGGATTAAGGTTATAAAATCATTTCCTAGAACAGAACATAATCATCAATCTGATTACATAAACTCAAGCCGTAAGATAAAAAGAAGCAGTTATTTTACATTTCTGGCATCTAAGTGTGAGTCAATTGGACTATATAAAAGTCCCACCGATCCTTAATGGATATATACACGTTTAACCAGCCGTTGTGACCCCTGACCCGTGCTTGACCTAAGTGTGGCTCTGGACTGCCAATAGAGGACTTTGGGTACTATAAAGTAAAGACAGTAGTGGTTTTTAAACCAACCAGGCTATCGAAGATCAGCGAGCTTATTATAGTAAATCTGGCTTTAGACGATTACCAACGCTCAAAATAGGGTTGAGAAGATGTCTGTGCACGGGTAAGCACAGACAGCTAGTACCTATTAAGTGAACTAACACGACCAAGATCAATGCTGATGCCATGTGCGATGGCACAGGGTCACTCGCTGCTGCTAACAGATTAAGTAAAGTGTTTACTTACAAAGAACAGAGATAAACCTGCAGACACACTGCCAGCCCCTAAATATAGTAAAGAGAAGCTTACAGTTGTCAAGTGAAAATCAATAGAATCCCCAAATGTGAAGGTTTATTCGTGTTTATTCAACATTTGCAATATTTGAGGGTTTCAAAGAGCAGGTGGAGTGATATGGTTTTATGCACAATAATGAACTGTTGAAACTCTTGGATCCCACTGATGATCTGCTGTATAAACTTGATCGTTTGACCAGCATGTGACTGTCATGCAGCAAGGATGTTTGAGGACTGCAGGTGCGTATGTACAGTGTTTCCTCTTCATGTTTAGTAGCCCACGTGGAAAAAAGGCTCAGTATTTATGTCTGTTTTTAAAACAGTATTTACACAATAATGTGTTCACATGATTCTGTATCTTTTCAGAATAGCCAATAATGGTACCTCAAAAATGTATTTGTGCAATCAATCAGAGACAATTTATTGCTATTTAACACTGCAAAACAAATTTTAAAAAATGACATGCCAACTTGCAGAGGTTGGTATATCTTGTACTTAAATAAAAGTAGACCAGAGAGTAGGAATACTCTGGTACAAGTTAAAGTCCTGTATTCAAAATGTTACTGAAGTAAAAGTACAAAGTATTAGCATAAAAATATACTAAAAGTTCCAAAAGTACTTATTATTGCAGATTGGTCCATTTCAGAATAATATAAATGTTACATGATATTATCAAACCCTTCCTGCAAAAGATAATCAAAGTTGTTATCACAAAAAGTGAAAATAGTGTATTAGGTTAAGCTTCAACTTCTTATAATACATCTTGTACCGAGTGCTACCGGTTGAAGTGAGGTCTCATTAATAACCATCTGGTGGAAGTGGAGAATGGCATGTGTGACCGGATAACTTGACACAAACATTAATCACAGCTGTAATCTTATTAGAGGACAGACATGTTGACATGAACACTTCCAGGAAATATATTTTTTTTTTTTAAATCACACAGCTCCCTAGTTAATATATATATATATATATATATATATATATGTCACCAACGCTATTACATTTAAAAAACAGCTACCAATACAAATTAAATGTGAAAATGTCCTTGAATGTCACTCCGAATGGAGACAGGCAAATCCAGGAAGACAAGATAAACAAAGTAACCAGTAATAGCTCACCTGCATGTTTAACATGCACTCACTCTACTGTTGAACCATAAAGAACATAAACAAATACAGCAGGTCACTTCTTTGTGAATAGAAAATATAGTTGTATTAGGCCATGAACAGCTTTACTTATACAATTACCACACAAGCAGCATAGTGTACCTGTACAGTTCTCTCAAGCTGATTTTGCTAAAAATATTCCACAGTTCTGATTTGCAAATCATGTCATGAAAATAAAGCTATGCAAATATAAAAACTTGTATTTATATAAAAAAACATGTATAAAACCACAGGCTTTGAACAAACGGTCGTATGATTTCACAGGGAATGAACATCAATAATTACAGCACTGACATTTTTACCAATATTCTTTCAATTAAACGTGCAGTTAAACAAGGCACAATACAAATATAAACATCAATATCAGAGTGACAGTAGATTTCCAGGCACAGTTGATTGATTTCGAAAAAAGGAACAGTCTCAAAGCACCCTAGCACACCATGAGATCACACACACAGCATGACCTACAGGGGATTGTGTGACTGTGGCTATGTACTGTAGGTTTATGTGGTCAAGCTGCAGCATTTGCAACATTTCTACAGACATGTGGGAAAATCACACGCACGTATGAGAATCATATGCTTCAAGCAACCATCTCACTGTAGAGGGTTAAGTGTTTGCTCAGTGTTTCACTTAAATGACAAAAAAGAACAGAATTCCCTGTACGGATTAGAACATGTGTTCCTAGTGTTTTAAAAACATCTTTAGGGAAACTGGATCTATGTACATCTGCCCTGACTCATCTGGCTCCTGGTCATATAGAAACTGTCTGAACACGTTGTACACCATCTTCCTGCTCAGAGTTATGTTCCTCAGCTGATCCTGGTGTTCTGCAGGCATGAGAAATGTCAGCTGGAAGTCAGCCAGGAGCAACTGGTTCCTGTGAGCAGAGTAAAACAGAAGTTCACACCACTTTTCAGTCAAATGCACAATGACAAAAAGCCCACTCTATTTATGTAGCTGAAGTGTACATTTTAGTGCATAAGCATTCGAGTGTGATGTGTGTTTACCGGAAAGCATATATGTCTGCTTTCGAGAAGTATCGTCCGAGAGCAGGGGAGGATCTGTAGAGGTCAGCCAGCTGGGTGGGGCAGGTTGACACAAGCAGAAGCAAACAATGAAGTAAAAGGTTTTGGCAGATAAAGATCTATACATTCAATAGACAGTGAGCTCTACTCTGCCACTTAGGGCTCTTATATTCGCTGTAAGAGATCAACAAAACAGCTCTCAGCAACAGCAGCTATGAACAGGTTGTTGTCTTTCAGTTGAGAAAAGTGCCAGATTTCTCATCCAAATAATGATCAATTGTGAGTTCTGGATGAAGTGCAGCTCTCTCACTTAATAAAACTAAATATAGAATATAAAGTGTGAACCGCAGTTTTAAAAACACAGTTAAAAATAAAATGAAGGTATCTGAGACTAGGTAAAAGTTTACACATTGGAAGCAAATAAACCTAAATAGATCTGTACAACCTTTTAAAATATAGTTTTATTTAATGTTATTCGTCATAATTGTTATTCTTTTGTCCATAACTTGTTAATGTATGTTTTTAAATGAAAAAAAGTATGTTGCTTGTTATGAAATGTGCAAAACACTGTAAATAGTGCCTCTACAATATCATAACTATTCAGTTAGTTGTTACATGGTTATACATATTAAGCCATTATATGGTAGGCATCACATCAGTTCCCTATTTGTCATATAAAGATAGACACTGATGCAATAGAATGTTTCTAGTCATACGTTATATTGTTTGTTACTTAATATACTGAATTATAAAAACCACAAACTGATTTTATTAAGTACATCATTTGAAATACAGGTCATAAATGGTAAAAACCTTTTCTCGAAGTTCACCGGCGAGTGTTTGGCTCTCGTTGGAGGACATGGTGAAAAGTTCCTCTGTAAAGACCAGATTGGGCAGCTGAAAGCTCCCATTGAAACACTGAGGAACTTGAAACGTTGAGGGATCAAAGATCTCATCCTTGTCCTCATGAATCACTGTTCAAAGAGAGAAAACGAGAATCTGTCAAAGCCTTGGCACAGATCAGATAATAATAAACACAATAAACAACACACCCATCATGCAACCTTACCTGAGCACAGAAGCATTGACATGATAATCACAGCAAAGATGAAGAAAAATAAGATGATGATGGCCATCCACAGTTTGACTCTCCAGAAGATAACCTCATTCAGCTCTCCCTTTATCCTGCACACGGCACTTGTCTAAAAGCATAATGAAAGGACTTTATCACAATAGGGCTTCACTTTTTTTCAAGCTTGAAACTAGCATTTCATGTTGAACATGGTTTAAGTAAGAGATAACACTAAAAGCATAGACAAACTAGTTTATGTAGCTGAACCGTCCTCTTTTGTGTATGGGGGATGCATGGGGAAATAATTTGTTATCACATTATAACAGAAACGTTACACTTCCTTTATTCCAAGTATAAGAAGAAATGCCCCAGAAACAACATGTTAACATTATAATTTCTTAACTAAGATTCTCCATACCTCTTGAGGAGTGTGGATTTTTTCCAGATTAATTTGAGTTTCCACTGCATGGTCAGAGGCCACTGTCCCCCCATTACAACCAGAAGTCTGAGAAAAAGACACAGCATGCAACTGTCACTCTCATCTAAGGACAGTGTATGGATTTTTTCTCTCTGGCAGGAATGATGAAAATAAGTGAATAAAACAAGTTGTTGCCACAGAACACACTACATATGTATTACATACATACACATACTGAAAACTTGAACACAACTTTGATTCAAGCTCACCTGTGCAGAAAGCAACCCGTCTTCCTCTCCTACTTCAGTGATTCTGTAGGCCGCACCATCTCCGTTACCTGCGGGCACCTAGGAGCAGGCAAATATTGGGGAATAAATATATATATATATATATAATGGTTATATTATCCCAATTTGGGATTAATAAAGTATATATCTATATCTCAATTGTACATAGATCAGCCATTAAATATAAGTTTCATTAGTTATTTACCTTGAAAAAACAATGAAAGATTAGTTATAATAGTTAATTATCTTGAAAAAATAAAAGGGTATAGATATATAGTATAGTCTGCCTATAATTAACATCATAAGCTTGCATTATATTGTAATTGTTATTAGCCTAGTAAAATAGTATTAGTCCTCTTCTGATTAGAATTGCCTCTACACTTTTAAACCCTTTGAACTTACCTGTTCTTTAGACAAATATGTTGCTCCATTAGTCTTGGTCTGCAGCTCGATGTCCATGCTTGCTTCTTACTGCCAGTTCCAAATGGAAGCAGTCCTAACCCGGAAGTATCAATAAGCTACAACTTTTAATAATGAAACCGAACTGTCAGCATAAACGTCCCAGATGTGGTTCAAAAAGGCAACAATTCCTCTTAAACAAACAGGTCGCGAGTTCACATTGTAAGGTGTGACAGCTCGTGGGAACGTTTTTGTTTGGTTTTGAGGCGAGGAAATGTGTTTCTTCTCTCGCAGCTCGCCCTCTTCCCAGCCTGCCAGGTGAGTTAAGAAGGAAGGAAGGCGTTGTGGGCGTTGTCAATAAACAGTGGAACGTTAACAAACATGACAACAACGTGACACAACCGACATTACATGGAACTACAGTGAGTGTACTGCGAGTCACAGCCAGCCTTACTGTAAATACAACTTGCGTTATTAAGTTAAATAAAATGGAATCTACCGAGCAAACACTTTTTACTGTTGCTAGGTATTTGAAGTGTGCATACCACGTGATCTATTTTCCCCAGGTGAAGGTGTCGAAGATTTTACGACTTGAATATTTGCTTAACCAAATGATACGTTTAATAAGTCAACATGCCGGTTAGGAATTGTTTTCTTGCTGCGTTTGTCAAATTCAAAGAAAGTTTCCTAATTATTAGATTAGAAACGTGTCTACTTTTTACAGTGAATAATGTGTTATGGTGCGCGTATCACCTCTTGCTACGCTATACAAATGTTTCAAAAATGTAGGGTGAGTTGCCCTAATGTGGGACACGCCCTAATGTGGGACACCTAAGCTCAAATGGGTGTAGGTCAGGGGTGCCCAACCTTTTTTGAACCGAGAGCTACTTTTAAAGTTGCCAGTCTGCCGAGATCTACCAGTCCAAATAGAGAGGCGTAGCCATTACTGACAGCCTACTACCAGGTATAAATACACACTTCTACTTGTATAAAACTGACCTTTGTACAATTAATACTTCATAAAATCCTGCAGATCCTTTATCTTACCTCTTTCTAATCTACACAAATACAAGTATTCAACTGAAGTTACACAACAGTGTTGTTGATACAGAGTTGGAGTTTATTCACATGTCACTACAGTGGGTAATGTTTTCAAGAAACATTGAACAGTGCTGCCACATATGACACAGGACAAAAAGAAAAGACTGAACCCTTTCTTTGCCATTATATCAAAATAGTGTTGCTACAAAAGTATAAATTAGGCTTACTAATAAGACAACTCAGATCTGAAGCTACACAGGAATCTGCTGCAACAGTGCAATAAAAAAAGATTATCTAAAAAATGTATAGAATCAAACCCTTTTTTTGTTGCATTTTAGTAGAGTATAAAAGGAAATGCCTTTAAAATAGGATGCAAGCAACTCTAGTTTCTTAACCTGAATTGATAATAGACTATTATCAATTTAAGTTTGCATTATTATACCATTGTGTACAATAATTATAATGAATAAGTTCAAACTTACAGCTGATTAATAACGGTATCTAACTTTAGTTTTTATTATATCAAAAACCTGTTGAAATGCTTCTGTTATTTTTTACTGTCCCCAAAAAGCGCATCGGCAGCCTCCAGGAATGCTTCTTTCACAACTTCGCCGTCTTTGAAAGACTTCATGTGTTTCGCAAGAACGTGACTGACACGATAAGGTGCTCTGGTAGCAGCCTTGCTCTTGTTGTTGGGCCTGGTGAAAATGGACTGCTGTGCATTTAGCTGTCCTTTCAGGCCCCTCCCCTTTTGGAGCGTAGGGCAGAATAACGGCCCGTCTACACTACAGGCGTCAAAAAAGCTTGAAGCTGGGCGTGTCTGAAGCTTGGCGATTTTTTGCGAGCAACGCGACCAACAACCAATCACATGAATCTCCCGCCCCCGACATACAAAGCAATAGCAATGTTAAAACGAAGTAAACTGGATATAAACTCCCCAAACAGGCGAAAACCTACCAGTTTCACCCACTCTCTCTGCCACCTCCCTCCATGCCTGGTTCCTCCGGTTTGTATCCCGGTAATAGTCTGGTCGTAAAGAACCGGGTGATTTGCTACCGTAATTTCTCGTTTGGAATATGAGGAAATGAACTGCGGTCTGGCTCTCCCAGCTTGCACGCGGTTTGATTGGCTAGCGCTTGTACTGGCGGGATTTGCATAAACGGGATTTGATTGGCTGACGCCAGCTTCGAGCAAGCATCGAGCCTCAAAAGTTGAACATTGTTCAGCTTTTGACGCCGATAGACGCTCGCGATGCTTGCAACGCCTTGCCATGCTACCCACAATGCAGTTCGGCGAAGTATGAAAATATCCTACGTCACCCCATTCAAATGAATGGGCGAAGCGTTGAAAGCATTTTTTGACGCCTGTAGTGTAGACGGGCCGTTAGGAGGGAATTCCGTCTCGTAGCGTTTGTGCTCCTAAATTACTCTTCTTCGATAAAGCCACGCTCGCATTCAGGAGCGGACCTAGCACATTTGGTGCCCTAGGCGAGCTTCACCACTGCGCCCCCTCCCCCCCAAAAAATATCAAAACATCTTAACAGTTATACAGTAAAGTACTGCACCTTTATTTATTACAAGCAAGAACAAGAGCTAAGAATAAATGTAAAGTGCACACTAAAGAATTAAAACAAATAAACAACTTAGCTAACAAACAATAATAATAATAATAAACAATAACATAATGTGCAAATTTGCTTTAAAAGAAAATTATTAGGGCTGTCAGTCGATTACAATATTTAATCGCGATTAATCGCAAGATTGTCCATAATTAATCGCACATTTTGTATCTGTTCTAAATGTACCTTAGAGGAATATTTTTCAAGTTTTTAATACTCTTATCAACATATGAGTGGACAAATATGCTTTATGCTAATGTTTATTATCATTTGAACAATGGCAAATATTCTCATGAATATTAAACACAACAACCTCTGAACATTACAAATATTTGCCTCAATTCAACCTGGAACCTCTCTCATACAATAATACAATACAAATGGTGTGTGTGTGTGTGTGTGTGTGTGTGTGTGTGTGTGTGTGTGTGTGTGTGTGTGTGTGTGTGTGTGTGTGTGTGTGTGTGTGTGTGTGTGTGTGTGTGTGTGTGTGTGTGTGTGTGTGTGGATCGTTGGAGCTATGTGCAACTCAAGGCATGTGCTCGAACGGGAGCTGTAATCATGTTGCGCACTATCCGTGCTGAGTGTGCTGACTTTTCGTACAATGTCCCACTGTCTGGCTTCCTGCATAAAGTCAAGTGCTCGGCGCAGTTGTGGCGAAATGTCGCTTCTCTGTTTTAATTTAAACAGCTCCTTATATCCGTTAGCACAGCTAGCTAGCACCAGATGCTAACAACAACAATGCACGTAAGGTCTCTCTCTCGCTCGCTCGGGCCACACATACACACACACTCCCGGTCCTCCCAATAGCCAGTCGGTGCCTGCCGGTGAGCGCGGAAGTGTGGTCTGCAGCAAGCGGGCGGCAGGAGCGGGGCTGTCAGCATCAGCTTGTAGACGGTATTTTAAACTCGATGCGCTCTGAAACTACGGGGCGGTCGAGGAAAAAAAATACACATGCGTTAATCACGTTAAAATAATTAGTGGCGTTAATTTTTGTTTGCGTTAACGCGTTAACTTGACAGCCCTAAAAATTATGTATTGTAAAATATGTTACACATGTCAAATAATCAAAATATAATATGCTAAATAAACAAACAAATAAATACAAATTACAAATTCCCTTTGTCTCAATAACTATTTACATTCCACTCCCTATCATCACACAAGGTTAGCCTATTAGCTCCTACTGGTTTCCATTTACAGTGCAATCCTTCTGGCCTTCCTCGCTGCAAAGTCATCAATCACATCATCAGATGAAATCTGACCACCAACCTCATGGTTAATACTGATTACAGCCAGACCACTGAGGCGTTGTTGAGCCATGGTTGACCTCAGGTATGTTTTCAAGAGTTTTAATTTGGAAAAACTCCTCTCGGCTGAAGCTACTGTTACTGGTAGCGTTGCACTGATCCGCAGAGCAATACACAAGTTGGGATATATTTCGGTGAGCTGCTTTGTGTGTATGAATTTCAACAACTCAAGAGTTGTCATGCTCTTTGATGGCAAGTCAGGTACATTTTCCAACTCCTGAGCCAGCTCCTTCCCATCCAAATCAGATTGCGCTCCATGGCTTAAGGTGTGTGCAAGTGCCTCTGCTTGCTTCATCAGCTCTTGGTGTGGCAGGTCTGGGAAGTTGTACAGAATGCCAAACTTGTCTTGCACATGTTTTAAGAGTGGTAAACCTCTCCTTTTGTGCTGACACTGCAGCATCCACCACCACGTTAAAGAAGGTTACCTCCAGATTTTGCAAGGCATCCCTCAATCGCTCATCAGGAGACTCATATGAGAAGTGCCTCTTTGTTGACTTCAGCCGCTTTCGCACAAGGACTGCGTCCACATTCATGTCTTCACACATGTCCTTGGCTGATGTTTGTGCAGCCACAAAGCCTGTGGCTCTGTAGGATTCGAGAGTTTTTTCAGTCTTTTTCAGTAGACTTACTGCTACATTCAGTTGCATTGTTTGGGACTGCAGGAGTTTGCTCACCTGCTGAATTTGACTTAACACATCATACCAGACCACTGTGCACAGTGAAACGCGGAATGATCCCACTTCTTCTGCCAGAGACTGGGCTTCAATCCTGATGATTGGGTCTTTGGCCTGGTTTCTCACCTCAAGCAGTGCCTCTCTCACAGCTGCGGCTTCATATCGCAGAGGCTCCACAGCTTTCACTCTGCTCTCCCATCTGGTTTCTGACCACATTTTGAGTGAAAGGTTGACGTGTTTCTTGAGGATGGCCCATCTCTGTGTAGAGGCAGAAAACAGGCAGTATAGCTTCTGCACAATGCCAAAAAATGATATGGCATCTTTGGAGCTTTTGGCAGCATCAGCAATGACCAAATTGAGTGTATGTGCCCCACAAGGCACAAACAAAGCTCTGGGTTCAACTGCAGTAGCCTGGCCTGTACTCCCTTGTTCTTCCCTCTCATATTTGCGCCGTTGTCATATGACTGTCCTCTGCAGTCATCAAAGGCAATCTGCAACTCCTCCAGCCTCTTCAAAATCAGGGCGGACAAACTTTCACCAGTGGACTGCTCTGCTACTAGGAATCCCATGAAGTGCTCTTTAATCTGGGGGTCTTCGTCCAGTGTCACAATTCTGATGACTACTGACAGCTGTTCAGTGTGGCTAACATCCGGGGTGCAATCTAAACTGAGGGAAAAGTACTTGCATTTCTTTATTTCTTGCACTATTGTAGATAGAATCTTTCCACTGATGCATTCAATCAACTCATTCTGAATGGTTTTGCCCAAGTAGCTGTGGTGGGATGTTTGACTTTTAATCTTGTTAGTGTGGTCTTTCATCACTGGGTCAAACTGCGCCAAAAGCTCAACCTCTTTCAAAAAGTTTCCATTTGAAGGAGAGTGGAGTATTTCTGTCTTTCCTCTCAATGCCATATTTCGCCCTGCCAGAGACTGTAGCAACCAGTCGTGTCAGCACTGCTCTCCACCGACTCTTCTCTGCCTCAAGGAGGGCCTGCTCTTGTTTGTCTATTGTTGTACTTTGTTTTAATCGAACTGCCAATTCTTTCCATGACGCCAAATTGTTCAGGTGTTCCGGACTATTTTCATGGCTGGTCAAAGCAGCACTTGCATTTTTCCAATCCGACAGTCCTGCATTTGTTAAATGAATTTGTTTTGGAGAGAAAAGTTGACAACAAAAACAAAAAAGACTGTTCTTCTTTTTTGAATATGTCACCCAACTTCTTTTGATCCTTTCTCCATTTACTAAGGTCCTGCTGAAGTACTGGTGGTGGCAACTTCTCCCATCATCTCTCTTTGGGAAAATGAAATCAGGTGTTATCTGATATGGTCCTCTCTGAACAAACTCTGTCCTCATTGTGTCTGTGAGATGTGAAGGGCAGTCAGCAGGATCGGTTGGTAGTGGATCGTCTGTCTTTGCTGCATCTGGAGGGCATGTGAAGCACATTTTCTCACCTCATATTCACAATATCTTCACACATACAAACACACACACACAACCCCAATTCCAAAAAAGTTGGGACAGTGTGTAAAATGTAAATAAAAACAGAAAGCAATTATTTGAAAGCATGAGGACAATTAGGTTTATAGCTAAACATCTTTACATTCATCAGGCACACACCTGAGAAGAGTGTATGGGTGGAATCTGTGGTGCAATCAGGATGAGATGCAGCAGGCTGGTCTGACGTTCCTTGCAGTGGTTCTGGGCCTATACATATATAGAGAACACACAAGAGCAAATATATTGGCTGGATTAGAAATGGCACAACAGTCATTTTTACATTCAATTATTTATCATCACATCAGGAACATCTATTGACATATTGTACTCACCAGAACAAACAGGCACAGTGGTCAGTGGCAGGGTGGAATCAGTGGTCATCTCATCAGGATGAGCAGCTTGCTGTTCTGACATTCCTTCATGTGGTTCTAGGTCTATAAATATAGAAAGAACACACAAGAGCAAATATATTGACTGGATTTCACATTACATTATTTATCATCAGGAACATCTATTGACACATTGCACTCACCTGAGGAAGCCGGCACAGCTGAGCTGCATGGCTGTTCCTTGTCAACTGATGCAGCAGGTGGTCCCAGATATTTTAAAAGTTAATCTAAAATGATATAACAAAATGTGTATTATCAACATTTAATAATTTCCATTTGTTAAATGTAGCTATTATTTAGTTAGTAAGCATTTGGACAGCCTGACAGGTCTGATTCAACTAATCAAGAGCTATGCCTATCTTATTAGAACAGTTGAATCAGCTGTGTTAGTTCTGGGTTGGAACGAAAACATTCAACAGGACTGGAGTTGAGAACCACTGAGCTAGTTAGCTAACGATAGCGCACATTATGACAGGGTTGAATTTGGCAAATGTTTGACTCGGATAGTCAATGTGCTTTTTGAGGTAAACTTAACGTTAGCTAACGTTACCAACTAACTAACATTCCACCACACTGGCTAGCTCGCTATACCAAAACTAACATTGTTATTATTACTAATAAACGAAAATAGCCTTATGACAGTTTAGACTGAATGGCAATAACAAACGCTGGCTAGCTAACGTTGGCTTGGCTAACTAGCAAGATTACATGATCCATTCGCCAAATGTTGATAATACAATCAAAATTGCATACCTTTCACCTTGGCACGTTTCTCTTCTTCTTCATTTCTTCAGTTTTTATACTGCGCCTCGGATGGCTTTTGCCTCGTCATAGTTCTCTAACGTTAGTCTTTCTTTCCTCAACGCTCAATTTTATAAACACTTGACCGATAGCCATCGATGCACAGCGCTCTAGCATGTTCTGACTGTGAACACCTAGAGCCCTAGACCGACCGACCGTTTTAGATTGTTGGCTCATTTTCCCTTATGTTAGAATTTTTTTTGTATGTAAGAATAATGGTTGCAGATATAGAGGTGGGCGCCAAAACTATAGGTTACTTACGTAACCCCAGTTCTCAGAGTAACATGAAGTGAGATGTCTCACTATGGGATGCGCCTCATCGCGGAGCAAACAGAAGCATAAATCTCATTACGCCAATCCTGATTGGCTGGTGATCTTGACGTCAGCGTCAGGGAATTCACCCCCTATAAGTAGCTTGCACCACGACGCATGCGCCATTCAAAATAAGCACCTCTTCTCGCTTCACCATAGCAAGGAGGGCCGTCTGGTGAGACATCTCACTTCATGTTACTCTGAGAACTGGGGTTACGTAAGTAACCTATAGTTCTCATTCATAACGCTCCGTTCGATGTCAGACCCTGAGTCGAAAGAGCTCGCGGACCCGAGGGTGCCTGCGAACTCTGACTCGTATGAGCCCCAAAGCAATTGCTTCCACAAACCAGTGGGAGAGCCGTTGCTTAGTAACAGGCTTGCCCTTATAAGGGTTAGCCCAGGACACAAGGGGTTGGTCATTATGACAAAGCACCCTTGATCTGTCCCTGTACGTGCGTAAAGCACGGGCTGGACACGGCAAATCCGGCCGCTGTTCCCCGGAGGAATACAGTGGCGGGGAGGATGCCTCAATGTCAAATGTGGTACCTGAACCAACCGCCTTAAGATAAAGGCAGGGTTGGGCTTCAACCACACTCTGTTTGCCCTGGGGCGAACTGAGTGCATGAAGACTGTACAGATAGTGCATGAGTGCCACTGGCTCGCTTGGCAGCTGCCAGGGTCAGCTTCATGTCACACTGTATTCAGATTGTACCACTCACGGGCCAGGCCCATAGAGCCAAGCGCTCTGGGTGTGGGTGAAAGATCGCCCCCCCGCTTGGGACAGTATGTCCCTGCGTAGTGGGAGCTGCCATGGCTGCCCGCATAGCAGCTAATATATCTCCGCTACCAGTACATAGCTGGCCAGTGCGGAGCTATCAGGATAAGTGTGTGGCGTTGCTCTCTCACTCTGGCCAGAGTTGGGGGTATCAGAGCCAGGGGTGGGAACGCGTACAGAAGGCCCGGGGGCCAATTGTGCGCGAGTGCATCCACGCCTAACGGTGCATTTAGATCGCGCATCGAAAAGAACAGCTGACACTGAGCGTTATCTTTCGATGCGAACAGATCCACCGCGGCTCTGCCGTAACGCACCCACAGCTGGCTCACAATCCTTGGATGTAGAGTCCAGTCTGCATAAAGTGGTATACCTCTGGACAGTAGATCTGCCCCGAGGTTCATCACTCCCGGTACGTGCGTCGCTCTCAGAGAGAGGAGACGTCTACCGCTCCATAGGATCAGTTTGCGCGACAGTGTGTGTAACTGGAGAGAACGCAAACCCCCTTGGCGGTTAATATACGATATTGTGGTCGTATTGTCTGTCCTCACGAGGACGTGATGTCCCCTGAGGAAAGGCAGAAAGCGTTTTAGGGTGAGAAACACCGCTAAAAGCTCCAGGTAATTTATGTGCGCCCGCTGGAGGTCTCTGCTCCAGAGACCCCTCACCGGGTGACCTTCATAAATACCTCCCCAACCTGTCAGACATGCGTCCGTGGTGACCACTTTCCGTGAAAGGACAGAACCCATAGGCACACCTCGTACTAGAAAAGTCGGGTGCAGCCAGTGGCGCAGTGCCATTACGCATTTCACAGTAACCATCACTCTTTAGTTTAGTTTTAGGGCAGCCACCCAGCGCTGAAACTCCCTCATGTGTAAGCGTCCCAGTCGTACGACCAGGATGGCTGACGCCATGAGCCCCAGCAATCGCAGGCATGATCTGAAGAGAACATGTTTGCGCAGCTGGAAAAGAGCGAGACAAGCTCTGAAAGCTTTCACTCTATCCGCTGACAAGCGAGCTGAAAAGGGCACCGAGTTCAGGTGTAAACCCAGGAAGAGTATAGTCTGCGCGGGGCACAACATGCTCTTCTCTGTGTTTATTATGAAACCCAGGTTGAGCAGGTGCTTTACGAGGACATTTGTCTGCGTAACAGCCTCCTGCTCCGACTGTGCGAGAAGCAGCCAGTCGTCCAGGTAGGTCGCCAGGCGAATACCCTGTTGTCTTAACGGGGCTATCGCGGCTTCCGTATATCGTACAAACACCCTTGGACTGAGAGACAGACCGAATGGGAGTACTCTGTATTCATAACAGATCCCCTGAAATGCGAATCTCAGATATTTCCTGTGTGGGTAATATACTGGGATGTGAAAATACGCATCTTTCAGGTCGACTGATGTAAACCAGTCGTCTTGTCGCACGAGCCGCAGCAGAGATGTGTGAGTGAGCATTCTGAACTTATATCTTTTTAGATATATTTCAGTTTTAGGTCCGCTATTATTCTCTATCTATATTAATAGTTTAGGTGAAAATGTCGAAGGAGCAACCTTACATTTTTATGCGGACGATACCGTTATGTACTGTGCAGGTCCCTCGATTAACGAGGCTGTTGTTAAATTACAGGCTGTTTTTAACATTATTCAGGCTCAGCTCTCTGAGCTTAAGCTTCTTTTAAATGTGGATAAAACCAAGGTAATGCTCTTTTCTAAAGCTAAAGCTAAAAATACACCAGAGACTGCTTTGGATATTGTAACTACGCAATAAATCAAACTTGAAGTGGTTACCTGTTACAAATACTTGGGTATCTGGCTTGATGACTGTCTCACTTTTAAACTTCATGTCAATAACCTGCTTAAAAAGCTGAGGGTTAGGCTAGGTTTCTTTTACAGAAATAAGTCCTGTTTCTCGCTTGAGGCCAGGAAAAGGCTAGTCACTGTGACCTTTTTACCTGTGCTGGATTATGGTGATTTGTTATATATGAATGCACCTGCCAATTACCTGAGCAAGTTAGATGCTGCGTATCACAGTGCACTGAGATTTTTGACAAATTGTAAAGCACTTACGCATCACTGTACCCTGTATACCAAGGCGGTTATGCCATCACTTACTGTACGGAGGCTCAGTCACTGGTACTTTTTCATTTACAAAGCCATGTTGGATAAACTACCATCTTATATCTGCTCCCTGATCTCTTTGCGAATTGAAAGTACTTATTGCCTGAGATCGCATGCTGTGGTTTTATTAAATGTGCCAAGTGCTAGGACTGTCTTAGGGAAGAAAGCTTTTAGATGTGCAGCTCCACTAACATGGAACAGTCTGCAAAAAGAATGGAAAATTACCAAGCTAGTACCACTACATGTTTTTAAAGCTCGGTTGGATGCTACAAAATCAGATGCTGTTGGTACCTGTACTTGTGGTTAAATATGTAAATTGTAATCCCTGTACATTTTGCTGTATGATGTCCTTTTGTTGTTCTGTTGTTTATGTCTTCTTGTGGAACCTACTGCTGCAGGTCTCCCTTGAAAAATAGATCATTGATCTCAATGGGATTTTACCTGGATAAATAAAGGTTTTGAATTGAATTGAATTTGTTCAGAGCCCTCAAATCAAGTATTGGCCGAATTCCGTTCCCTCCCCGTTTGGGAACGAGGAAGTACTTGGAATAGAAGCCGCCCTGACTCTGCTCGGCGGGTACAATAGATATAGCCCTCTTTTCTAGGAGAGAGAGAATCTCTCTCTCCAGAATATGGGCTGACTCTCCTCGGGCCTGCGAATGCAGAATGCCCGAGAAGCGAGGGGGGGTGACAGCGAATTGGAGTCTGTAGCCCCGTGTTACTGTCTTGAAAACCCAAGCAGATGATGTGAGCATCTTCCACTGCATGCTCCTTAGAGCCAGTGGAGATGTCACGTCTCTTCCCCTCTGAGTCTCTATTTGTTGTGTTATGGGGCCCTCTAGTGTCTGAACACAGTGGTGCCCCTTTTCGACAATCCCCACTGACACTGCGCATGCGCATGACGGTGGTGCCTTCACAACCCCAGCCGGCACTGCGCATGCGCGTGGCGGTGGTGCCTTTAAAGCCCCAGCCGGCACTGCGCATGCGCGTGACGGTGGTGCCTTCACAGACCCGCCTGTAATCCGCCTTTTGAGAGATGCCGTAGCTGCTCTCAGAAGGGGAACAGTTGACGGGCTGTTTATTGGTTTTATTGTTTTTCTTATCATTTTTTTTAGCTGCGCCCTCGGCCTGAAGCCTGGATGCGTCAGCGGCAAATGTTTTATGACAGAAAAACCAACAAATTTGTGACATGTGTTTGTGCGGACTTGAGGATGGTGTTGAGGCATCTCTCGAGGCGGCGGGAACACATTTAGAGCTGGGGAACCGTGGACTTCCAGCTCTGTCACAGAGGGGAGAAGGAGGGGCTGTCACGCCGCTCGCTTCTTCTTCCTCGACTGCTGGCCGAAATTCTGGGTTGGCTGCGCCTGAGCTGCAGCCGGAACCGGAGATTTTCTAGGCCAGCTCGCCCTCGTCTCCAGCCTGGGCTGGGGACTCGGGGCGGGCTTTTCTTCACGACCCCAGCCGGCACTGCGCATGCGCGTGACGGTGGTGCCTTTACAGCCCCAGCCGGCACTGCGCATGCGCGTGACGGTGGTGCCTTCACAGACCCGTCAATTGTCCGCCCTTTGAGAGAGGCCGTAGCTGCTCTCAGAAGGGGAACAGTTGACGGACTGTTTATTGTTTTTATTGTTTTTCTTTTCATTTTCGAGCTGCGCCCTTGGCTCGAAGCCTGGATGCGTCAGCGGAAAATGTTTTATGACAGAAAATCAATAAGTGTGTGACATGTGTTTACGCGGACTTGAGGATGGTGTTGAGGCATCTCTCGAGGCGGCGGGAACACATTTAGAGCTGGGGAATCGTAGACTTCCAGCTCTGTCACAGAGGGGAGAAGGAGGGGCTGTCACGCCGCTCGCTTCTTCTTCCTCGACTGCTGGCCGAAATTCTGGGTTGGCTGCGCCTGGGCTGCAGCCGGAACCGGAGATTTTCTAGGCCAGCTCGCCCTCGTCCCCTGCCTGG